ACCTGAGCCGAAGGCAGACACTTAACTATCTGAGCCACCCAGGCGCCCTGTGCAACACCTTCTTACTTTCTCAGCCCACGTCTCTCCCTACCCACTCACTGAGGGACACACTGTAAGTACTGCGGGCCTGCCCACAGCTCCCAGGGCTGCCCTTCCACTTCCAGGCAGTCTCCTCCTAGTCCTTGAAAATCCAGCTCCGTTACTCTTGCAATACCTGTTTCTGTACCTCCTCCTTTCTTGGGAGAACGGGTCAGACTCTCTCCTTGGATATTTGATGTCATATGCTGTCCCCTGACTCAAGGCATTACAGGGTCTTTGTATCTGTATGTGGATTTAAATCGTTAATTTGACTTAGAGGAGTGCTTAAGCACTTGGTCTCTGATGATGGACCTGTTGGCTTTGAGTCCTAGCTCCAATATTTTCGTGCACTGTGTAACTTTAGGCAAGTCACTTAACTTCTCTGTGCTTCAGTTTTCTCATCATAACAGGGAGAATAACATCACCTAACTCAGTAGGGTTGCTGTGCAGAATAAAGGAGTTAACACATATAAAAGTACTTAGAATAATGCCAGGCACAGAGTAAACACGGAATGGCTATTCGTTATTATTTTGGCATCAATAGCATCTTTGGATAGGAGGCATTTTATCCGCCATCTTCTGCCTCTAAACCTTTGCTGGCTGGCCCAGTCCCTGATACCGCATCATTTCCACCACCGGAAGGGGGATCTTGTGCCCCCACTGTGGATCTTATGCCTCTGATTCCCATTTCAGTGGTCAATATGCCGCCCAGAAGATGGAGAGGTAAAGAAAGGGAAGAAATACTGCGCGCTGTCCCGTGCCAGCCCTGGGTTAGGTGTGTTCACACTCCTTACCTCACCTCCTTTTCATGACTCCTAGGAGCCTGAAGGCCACCACTGGCCCTTCTCTGATCCTTGACTGGAAACAAACCATCTGTAAAAAGACGTCTTTGAGACAGCTGCAGAAATTCCAGGGGATACTGTGTGCCCGAGGATACTAAGGATTGTTTAATTTTCTTAAGTGCAATAATCTCATGGTGGTTGTATAGGTCTCAAAATGCACTTATTAGCCTGCTTCTCCCTCTCCTCCCGGCTCAGTGCTCTCTCTCTCATTCAAATAAATAAACACAATCTTAAAAAAAGAAGGTATCTCATCTGCAAGTGAGGAAACTGGGGGCCCCTAGAGGTTACGTACCTTGCCTAAAGGTCATAAAGTCAGTATCAAAAGTCCTTTTGGGGGTGCCTGGGTGGCTCAGTTGGTTAAGCGACTGCCTTCAGCTCAGGTCATGATCCCAGGGTCCTGGGATCGAGTCCCGCATCTGGCTCCCTGC